TCACGAGTTCGCACATTCAGCGATTGAATGGTTTTGCTTATTCCGTATATTTTGATGGTATTGTTGTTAGCATCCCGTTTCTGGCCCCTCTTTTATGTGTAGCATAATCAAGTTTTTTACACCAAATATACAGAATGTAATACATGCCCTGTTTGATGAATAAAAGTGTACTGTACCGCAACTTGTTGCAGTGATCCCGGTCTCCTTCAATATTCCATGTCTCAAAAACATTCATCCATTTTATGGATAAGTTATCGCATCCATTCTACCTTCCTAATTTTCATTTACAAATACTCAAAACTCATCGCACTTTGCCACTTGTAAGAAGGTTGACAAAAAGTACCTTAGTCGGTGATCTATCCGGTGAGTAGTCAACGATGTCAGTAAACGAGGATTTATGACCCTCAACAATCTGACCACTTCGAAAGACTGTAGAAATCGGCTTTCGAGAGGATGCTTCGCTCGAGAGACTCTGCAAAAAATACTGCTTTAATTACAAAATCTTCTTGAATTCGGAAAATGTTTAAACCTGAAAAAATAAGGAGCCTTTAATACAGAAATTCAGAAGTGCACTTACATCCTGCACAGATGCCAATGCCTGATCCCGTAATGTTTGACAATTACTAGCAATGGACGAACTCTCTAGTTTTCCACTTTTATGCGCGACCTCAGCTGAAAATTATCCAGTAACAGTTTCAAATTTTCGGGAAAAACGATAAGGTGAAACACAGTCGCAACATTCCCGCAAACTATCAAAGTCGGCTTTTGATACTACCGCAACATAGTGATAAGGTCGCTCCTTTAACCCTAAACTGCAAATTCCCAGCCTGCATTTCGTCCCTCTAAAAATACTTATATGATATACTAATCACAGCTACACTGCCGCAATCAACAGAACAGTGAAAAATCCTTTTTGCCGTGTACAGGGTCTCAAAATCGCCTGTACAGAGAAGTAACAAGCATAGGTCAACGTGCGCAACGAATTTGAAAAAATTCTGGAAAAGATGAATTCAAGTTAACAGACAGATGAAGAGGCGCAATAACTAGCATGAATTTTATCCGGAAAAAAATGCCATCTTTGGATGAGTCAGGCTGGAACGCACCAAACTTGCCAGTGTGGTCATGCAATTTTTGCACTGAATTTAAAGCAATCAGATAATTAACTGTATGAACGGTTTTACTTTACATTTAACTTGCGCAATCATTGCCGCAAATCACCATAAATTTTGTATAAAGAAAAATGAACAATTTCCGTCGAGAGGTCATTCTCTGAAATGACCTAGCCAATCAGGGAGCAATTTTCTCGCCAAAACCTTCACATGTTCGTACATGGGGACTACGTACAACAGCAGCTGAATTTGAAATCTCTCTTGGACAGGGAACATCCCCTTAAAACTTCAGCCTTCCAGCTTCACAGGTTGGCGAGTTAGCAATTTTCCCGTCATAATTTCGCGTGTCAGTACTTGTGAACCCCGCGTAAACGGGATTAAATTTGAAATATTTAGGCTGCACATTTACGCTGACATTTCATTAAAATTACTATTCTGGGAACCAGGAATGCTCCAGCTTTCCTGATTTCTAAAATAGCAATTTTCTCACCAAAACTTTCACATGCTCGTCCGCGAAGCTCCGATGTGCATGAGGTTGTTGCTGCAGTTCTCCGGTGGCGCTTGGCCAAGGAACCCAGCGGCAAAATTTCAGCGTCGAAGCTTGCTTGGTTATCGAACTGAAATACCCAGGCAGACACCCACAGATACACACACACGCACACGCATACACATACACGCAAACACACACATACATGAGTCGTCACAATAAGCTTTTTCGTATTTGCATATGTGCAAAAACATATAACCA